CTCGGTGTCATTCGCGGGCGACTCCCTCGTGGCCTTCGCGTCGGACCCGATGTCATTGGTCACCCTCGCGACCAACTTTGACCCGGTGTCGTTGGCCGTCGCGCCGGTCATGATCCCGCTCAACATGCTCGACGCGCAGCTCAAGACCTGGCAGGAGAACGCGCCCGCGGGCAGCTCGGCGCAGTACGTGGCGTCCACCATCGGTCGGGTCGGTGTGGGCGTGCTGCGCGTCGGCATCCCGGTGGGCGCCTCCTTCATCCCGCTGGCCTTTGGCGTGCCCGTGCCCCCCACGGCCGCCATTTCCGCCGTCGGGCCTCTCATCAGGGAGGGCATGTCGTTCGCCCAGATGGCGCAGGCACGGCCCCGCAGCGCTGGCACCACCACGGCCGACGCGGCGAGCGCCAACAACGAAACGATGACCAACGACCCGACGATGACGACGAAGCAGCGAGGCATGCGCAGCCTCATGATGGGCTCGTCGAGCCCCAGCAGCGGCGGCGGGGCCAAGTACAGCACGACGCTCATCGACGCCGTAGCCGCGCCCGGGCGCGACGGGAGATCCGCACTGGCGCCGGGTGCGGCGAGCGTGCCGCACCGGTTCTTCAGGCCGGGCCTCTACCTGTGGCACGACCATCGCAACACGGCCATCCACGGCGTCATCGTGGTCGAGCCGTCGGACATCGCCGTCGACGCGTGCGGCGTGTGCGGCGGTGACAACTCGACGTGCATTGATTGTCTGGGCGTGCCGCATGGCGCTGCCCGGTTGGACACGTGCGGCGTGTGCTCTGATCCGACGGCGGCGGGCTACACTCCCAACCCGCCATCGACTGCGCCGGCGTGTGTCATGGCTCGGCGGCGCTGGACGAGTGCGGCGAGTGCACGGGCGGCACCACGGGCCGGTTAACCGGCGCGTCGATGGACTGCGCCGGCGTGTGTGGCGGCACGGCGCGAGTAGACTGCAGGGCGTGTGCGATGGCTCTGGCCGGCTTGACTGGCACGAGGGACGGCCGAGCAGCACCATCGACATCGGCTGCACAGGCGATGAGGGCTGCTGTACGCAACTTTCCCTCCTCCCCACACTCACAATTATCTCATTTCTATATGAGGGCTGATGACAATGGTGATGTGTTGTATATACTGGGTGTAGTCCAAGCGTCATTCAACTGGCGCGAAGAGCATTCGTGCCCCACCACCATCATGGACCAGGGTCTATGTGGCAGGTAAACAAACCACCACCACCACCACCACCAGCATACCATCACCACCACCACCGCCATCCCCATCACTACCACAAATGAGCACTATGGTGGTGTTCTAAAGCCCTCTCTCTTTCTCTCTCTCTCTCTGTGTCACGCAGCGGCGCGGCGTTTGCCGTCGCCACGGCAGCCACGGACAGGCGTGCAGCCTTTCGCAGTTCTCGCCGCAGGAGCTGCTCGACTGTGTTACTCTTCCAGCGCCGGGCAACCCATGCCACGGCAGTGAAAACAAGGTTGCAGCCAAGTGGATGGGCGAAACGGGCCTGCCGACGATTGGATGCCGACCCTTCCGATTCTCCAGCGGTTGGGATCTCAGCCCTCGCACTTGCAATGTGCGTGTTGCACCTCCACGCTCCCTACTACATGCGCGTGTCGTGTGTGTGTGTGCAACGTTGCTATCTTCGTGGCTAACACCTCTCCTTTCTTGTGTGGTCGTGGGTTGTGGGTCGTGGGTGCAGGGAATTGCGACCCGCCATACTCAAGTACCACAAAAAAGCCTCACCAAAGGGATCAGTACATACCAGACCTTGGTCATGTCCGTCAAGGAGCTGATGAGCGAGATCCAAACCAACGGCCCCGTCGCAGCCAACATTTTCTTGTGCAACAACATGATCAATTTCTTGTACGCTACTCCCCCCCCCAAAAAACGACCCACCCTCGGTTATAGCAGTGCGCGTCCTCACACGGGTGCGCGTCTCTCTCTCTCTTTTTCTCTTTCTCTCTCCCTCTGGGCCTCTGTTCCAGTAATACCACTCCGACGGGCATCTATTCCGGGAGCTGCTCGGCAGCGTCGTGGGATTTCGTCGGCGGTCATGTGGTGACAATCATCGGGTCCGGACTATCTCTCTCTCTCTCTCTATCTTTGGTTTGGTTTGGTTGGTTGCACACCATTTAGTTGGGTGTTGGGTGTTGGGGTGTGTTTGCTGGCGTGCTTACTCTTGCTGGCGGTGACGGGCGCGTGTGGTGGGTGGCTGCTTTTTGCATTTGGTTGTGCAGATGGGGCACAGCGGCCGAAGGCGGCAAATATTGGCTCTTTGCCAACTCCTGGGGCGTGGCCTGGGGAGACCACGGTTCGGCCCTGGCCCCCATACCCCTCCCCCCGCTGCCTTGGCTGCCGCCGCTGCAGCCAATTTCTAATGGTAAGAACAAATGATAATAACAAATGATAATAACAAACGTGGGGGGGGCAGGTTATGGCCGCATCGCAAGAGGCCAGGACACGGCCGGTATCGAAACATGGGAGATCACTGCCGTGGCCATGGCGAGGAGTCCACAGCTTCGCAGAAACGCACCACACCAACAATACCACCAACAAGAGTCGTCCCAGCAGCAGCAGCAGCAGCAGCGGGACACCAGGTCAGCGGCCGCGTCAGACATCGTGCCCGGCGCTCCGGTGCACAGCAACGTGCGCACCGCTCACGCCTACCAATCAGCACAGGTCAGTCATTTAGTAGTTGTTCTTTCTTTGGGGGGAGGCTCTGTTTGACCCACCCACCACCCACCACCCACCCACCAACAACAGGCAGTGCTGGAGAGCTGGAATGGCAATCTCGCCTCGGGTACCACGGCGTACCAGGTTGCCAGTATCAACTCCATCACTTACCAGGTACCCCACCCACCCACCCACCCATTGGAAATGAAACAGTAACAGCCAGAGAAATTGTGTGCGGGTGGCAGGTGGTGTCCGGAGTGCTGGTCACCACCGACCTGACGCTGACCAACGGCGCGAACACCGTCAATCTGGTGGCCACCCAAGTTCTTAGTTCTTCTTGGGCTCTTCTTCCATGCTCGCCATGACCACCGCCGCTGGTATGCAATCACTTCCCCTCTTTCACCGTGGCATTAATGGACCTAAATCATAATCAGTGCAGCGAGAAGGCTACAAAATACTAATATTATGTAATTAATTATGTAATTAGCACCGGTGGGTGCAAGCACTGCTGCGGCTATCAGCGGGACTGCGGTCGTTCTTGCAGCCCTCGGTGCTGCGGCTCTGCTGGTTGTCCTGTCAGCCTCTGCCGTGGCCGGAACGGTGGTCTATAGGAAGCACCGCATGGCCCAACAGACCCTTGCGCGGGAATCCTACCAGTTCTCGTCCCACGCTCAGCTCGAGGTTCGTGTAACACCACCCGGCACCACACGCGGCACACGGCACACGGCACGCGGCGCACGGCTGAGTGGGGGGGTCGAGCAGATGGACATGATCATGCAGGGCATTCAGTCGATCAAGGAGGAAACCAGCGAGGCTCGTCCCAAGGCCGTCCCAAGATCATTTCCACCACCACCGAGGTCGAGGAGAAGGAGGAGGAGGAGAAGAAGAAGATGCCGGCGTGGCGCATGCGAGTCAAGTCCATCACCGCGCGCAGTCCCACCATCCTTGTGGATGCCACCAACACCAGCCGCCGCCCTGTGCCGCTGGGGGAGGTTATTGCCGCGGGCATACCCCGGCACCACCAAGGACCCAACAATCAGGAAAAGTAAAATCATTTGCCACGCCATTCAATCACACACCAACATCCTCACCATGCCCCCGCCAACGTCCTGCTTCACTTACATTGGCCTCCTTCATGCCAACAGTTTCTCCACCAGAACCACTCCCTGCTTGCCAACTGCAATTCTTCCTGTAATTAAGGTGAGTTTTCCACACCTCAGGTAGGTACATCAGGCACATCAGGCACAATGTGCAAGGCAGCACAATGTGCTTGCAAGGCAAGGCAGATCCTCTGCAGTTCATCTGGCTCAAGGAGGCAGCATCTGGCATCTCTTGCTGCTGCCTCAGCAGCCTGGAATGCCTCCATCTCTACCCCTCATGTCACTCCAATAGGAGGTGATGCCCAGAACTGCTCTGGGGAAGTGGGGAAATAAGTTGTCAGGCCACAATGGTGCCAAGGCAAGGGAAGAGTGATGTACTTTTGGCAGGTGCCTTGTTGTAGTAGAGTTTGGGTTGGACAAATAAATTGTGATGTGCATGGAAAGTTGTATTTGTAGACTTGATGAACATAAAACAGGGAGGGATTCACATACCCAAGTCAGCATCTGATTGTGTGAGTAGCTTGATGTTTGTTCTTGTTCTGGCCTTGCTTGTAGTCATGGACCTCTGGCTCCTTGTGTGCCAGCACTTTTACCTCCTCTCTCTTATGCACCTCTTCCTCTTCCTCCTGCACAACTTCCATCACCTCCTCTTCCTCCTCTTTTTTGTCCTTGGTCTGAATCTTGTGCTTCCCCTTCCTGTCAGGCTTTTCCTCCTTGTGCTGGTGGGTGTGCTGGTGGGCAAGCTAGTGGGTGAGCTTGTCTGGCTGTGCAAGGGCATGTGAGTGGGTGACTGTGTGTGAGAGGCAGAGGGCAAGGTGGTAGAGGTAACAGAGGCTGAAGGTGCAGGAGTGAGAGATGGCATTGGAGAAGGATTTTGTGAGGGACTGAGTAGGGCTGATAGTGGAGCATGCTGTGGGGCTGTTGGTGATTGTGTTGGTGATGCCATGGGGCTGTTGGTGGAGGAACATAGGGAACAAGGTAGGGATGGTTGAGGTTGGTGAAGGTATTGGTTGTGCTCTGGAGGGTGTTGTCATCCACTCCTGTTGGTGGGGGACTGTGATGGCAATTCTGTTGGGCTGTTGGCAGGGACTCAGTGGGATCCATAAGTATTGCAGTGGGCAAGAGCAGCTGGGTTTGTACTTTGACCAACATCAGGAGAGTGCTGAAGGCTGGCGCCTCCACCCACCCAGAATGGAACATCCTGAACTCAATCTCTCTTCATCTGGCTGTATCCTCCTCGCCCCTTGTGTGGGAAGGGCACAAAGAAGTGAAAAGTTCATTTTGACAACAAAGGAAAGCCAAGAGTGCAACATTGCAATTCCATTTTTTTTTTGGGATCATGCATGATTATGTGTAAATGGTTACAACCCTGTGGTGGCTTCCTTCCTCCTCCAGACCCTCACATAAAGCATGACTGCAGCCAACAGCGCCACGAGCGTGAAGCTGCCCGCCAGGAGGCCCATTACCACCGCGTTGTGCCGCCCTGCTGGCTGCAGCTCCTCATGGGCGTGGACCGTGCAGGCGAAGGCGAACTCGACCGTAAAGGTGGTGTTGATGAGGTTGTTCTGGGACACCACGCGGTAGGTGCCCGGCGTGAGCACCGGCCCAGAGACGGCCACCGTGCCGCGGTCAAGCACCACGTCGGGCATGGGCTGCGGCCCGGTGATGGAGATCACGTGGTCGAGCAGGTCGCGGTTCTCGATCACCACCACGTCGCCCACCGCCAGCCGCTGTCCCTCGGCGCGCCACTCCACCACCTGTGGCTCCAGCAGGCGCAGCAGGTGCCTAGTTGGCGCACTCCGGTAGGCGCCGGTGCGCGGCGCCACGCGGGTGACCACCGCCGGGTCGGCCGCGGCGTGGAAGTGGGTGGTCTCGAACCACGTGTGCACGTCGTCCTTGGCCTCCATGACCTCGCAGCAGTGGTCGTACGCCGCGCGGTTGTTGTCGTTGTTGACGTCGGCGTCGGCGTCGGCGTCGGCGTCGGCGTATACGCAGCGATCGCAGCTGTCCCTGATCTTGCGGTTGAAGCGCACGCTGAACCGGACCGACACGGCCGAGCTTTCGGCCGATTGGAGCACGTACTCGCCCGGCTCGGTGACGACCACCCTGAGGCTGTTACCCGGCAACAACCTGGGGTACTGGGCAACGATCTTGAGCTTTCTTGACGACGACGCGCTGTCCACTGGCCTGACAAGCCGGAACGTGTAGCCGTTGTTGTCGTGCAGGTTGGTGACGAGCAGGGTCTCGCCGGCGTCGAGCGCGCCGACGGGCAGGAGCACGGTGCCGAAGTCGCGGATGAGGACGGTGGCCTGGGCGAAGGGCAGGAAGCAGCACGTCGTGTTGTCGCCGCCGCACACGCCGCACAGGTCGTGCACCGCGCCCGAGTTGGGCACGCCGTCGCAGCCGGCGCACTGGGAGTTGTCGCCGCCGCACACGAAGCACTTGTCCAGCTTCTCGCGCTCACACACGCACGCCCTGCCGCCCCCCCACCACCAACCCAATAATTATTATTGGGCTTAGCACAATATTGTTATGATTATAAAAAGTAGTGGGATTAAGTTATTCGTATAACTCGTTGTGTGCGCGTAATTAGAATATATATCAAGATGATGGTGGGGTCGTACGGGTCGGTGGGGAGGCGCCCGCCGAAGCACTGGCCGGCGCAGTCCTTGGCGGTGTTGAACTCGCGCCCGGTGGTGCCCAGCACGCACTGGCCGCACTCGTCCACCACGGCCTTGCCGCCGCACATGCCCGTGCAGTCCTTGCCCGAATTGGCCACATGGCCGTCGCCCTCCACGAAGCACACGCCGCACTGGTCGCGCGTCGCGTTGCCGAAGCACGTCCCTTGGCAGTCCTTGTGCGCGTTGGGCTGCAGCAGCCGCCACGGGGACATCGGTAAGTACCATATCGACGACGACGACGGCGGCGGCGGGGGGGGGGGAATAGCCAACGAACAAACAAATGCAGCACTCCAGAACCAACAACACGAGGCGTCGAGGGGCGGCAACGAACCGAAAGACCAGAGCGGCCGCCGACGCAAACGCCGCAGTCGCCGATGTGGGCCGTGCCGCGGCACGTGCCGGCGCAGTCCACCCAGTAGCCCTCGCCCCGGTCGTAGTCGGCCGGCGCCACGCACAAGCCGCACGGGTTGAGGCGCGCCGGGCCGTTGCACACGCCCTTGCAGTCCGCAACTGCCCCGTCTTCCACGCAACTCACTGCCTTCTTCTCATCCTCCTCCTCCTCCTCCTCCGTCTCCTGCTCCTGCTCCTGCTCCCCCGTCGTGGCCTGCAGGTGGAAGAAGAGTAAATAATAATCCTAATAAATGCGCGCGCGCACACACGCACACACACAGACACACACACACACACGGACACACAGACAGACACACATACAGACACACAGACAGACACACGCGCGCGCGCGCGCGGACAAACAAAGAGGAAAAGAGAGAACGAACCTGGTCACGTTGGCCGTATGGTCTCATGCAAGTAGGAGGCTGACCTTGGAAGATAACCATTCGGGCCGGGCCACCGCAAACGCCGAAGCAGTCGATCCGAGTGTCCCCGTTGCAGATTCCCGCACAGTCGCGCACAGCGTTGCCGTTGCACGTTCCCGCGCAGTCGAACACGCTGGTGCCGTGGCAGGTACCGCTGCAGTCCATCTGTGCGTTGGACACCCGGCCGGTGGTGCCGCCCGAGCACATGTCGCACTCGTCGATCATGGCCGAGCCGTTGCACACGCCGGCGCAGTCGATGGCCGGGTTGGGCGCGTAGCCTGGCGCTGTCCGATCGGCGCACACACCGCACACGTCCACCTGAGCCGGGCCGAACAGGGTGCCCTGGCAGTCGCGGCACGAGGTGCCGTCGCCGCCGCACACGCCACACTCGTCTACGACAAGGTCCGGCGGCGTGACCAGCACCACGCCGTGGACCGCCGGGTTGTTGGAGTCGTGCCACACGTACAGGCCCGGGCTGAAGAACCTGTGCGGCATGCTCGCCGCGCCCGGCGCCAGCACCGCCGACGGGCCGTCGAGCTGGGCCATGATCGGAGCGAAGCGGTAGAGCCCTGGTAAGAGGAACCCGGCGTCCGGGGACGGGCGGTTGACGCAGGTCAGGTCGGAACAGTCCGACGACGACCGACGACAGAGGCAGCGGACAGCGGGCGAGATCTCCTTCTTCTCAAACCTTGCCTTGGCGGTCCTTTGCGACATGACCTGGCGGTGGCGGAGGTGGGGTGAGACAAGCGCGGCGTGTGTCGTGTCCGTGTGTGTCGTGTCGTGTGTCGTGTGCCGTGTGTCGTGACTAACGCAATTCGCATCTCGTGTCGTGTGTGGTGATGCGGGCTCACCTCTTCCACTGGGTGTAGGAAAACGCCGGTGGAGTTGGCGAGCGTCGTCAGGCGATCAAGCCGCAGCTGCGCTTCGACAAGCGCGGCGACCACCGACACTCGCAGAGAACGCCTGACTCCGGCTTCATGCAGGCGATCGGCCGGCTCGCCGTCATCGTCTTCCGCCATTATCGTTGTCGAGTCGTAATCGGCCTCCACCTCCTGGGCGCAGCACACGCCGCCCATCACGAATTCCTCACCAACGCCCAAGTCCTGAGCCTGTTGGCTGCGCCTGCGGACTTCAAACGTGCACCGCCCGAGGGCCGAGTCGTCCTCCTGTGCCCATGGGGGTCGTGTGCGTTGTGCATTTGCCGTGTGTTGCATGTCAGTTTGTTTGTTGTGGTGCCACATGAAAAAAACAACCGGTGTCCGATGGGAGACATGCCAGGCGTGGTTCGTACCAGCCGGGGAACAGGTCCGTGATCTGCTGGTTCTGCTGCGACTGATGGTCGCCGGCGGTGGATCGCCGACGGAGGTAGGCAGACGTGGAGTCGGTTGCGGGCGGTGCAACAGCCGCGGAAGACGTGGGCCGCTCCACAAAATCTTTGATTTGCATCATAGATGCGTATTCCTGCGCGTGAAAACACAAACGACACGACACGACACCGACACCGACACGACGCACGACGACACACGACACACGACACACAAGGATGGTAGGTATGAAGTCCAGTCAGCAACGCCATGGCATAATGTAGGAGGGAGCCACCTTAAGGAAAGCTTCGACGGCTTCATCGTCGAGCAGGTCGCTCGGCTCGGCAGCGTGGCCATGTTGATTGAACCGCGACAGCTCGAGCGCCGGCGCATTCTTGTAGTCGTAGGCCCCGCTCACGATCTTCACCTCACAGTTGAGCAGGTTCTCCCACACCACCAGGTCGCCCACGCGCGCCCGCGTCACCATCGATGACCACGACGACGAGTCGCTGGGAGCGATGCTAGATCCGTTATTGCCGTTGTTGGTGTTATCGATGCGCACGTAGTGCCACTGGGCCTGTGTCGGCTTGGGAATGCAGCACGTCGATCCGTTGCCGCCGCACACCCCGCACGCGTCCACCGCCTTGCCCGACAGCGCCACCCCGTCGCACCCGGCACACGTCCCGTTGTTGCCGCCGCACACCCCGCACTGGTCCACGCGCCCGTAGCACGCCACGCTCACCGTGTGCGACACGTGCGAGATCACGTTGGCGGCCTCGGTCGAGAAGCCCGAGTGCAGGATGACGGCGTGCAGCTCCTGCTTGCCGAACAGCGCCGGGTTGCGCGTCTCCCAGAAGATCGACACCTCGGACCTCTTGGTCTCGGTCGTCGAGCCGTTCACGCGCGGCACCAGTACCGTGCCGATGAGCCGGCCCGTGACACCCACGCCGCCGTGCCACAGCTGCACGAGCACGTTGGCCCGCGTGAACGTGTCGCCCAGCACCGTCGCCGTCACGTGGTACCCGATCGTCAACCCGCTCCCGTCGCTCGCCATCACCGGGCTCAGTCCGATCGTGGGGTCGAGCCGCAGGGTCTGGAGCGTGTAGCCGCTGTTGACCATGTCGTGGAACAAGAGGCT